CCCGGGGCGCAGGCCGCGCCGGCCCCGCGACCTCCCCGCGGCGGGAGCAGGCCAGACGCCGGCTCGTAGGGGCCGCACCCCCACCGAGCCCAGCCAGGCGTCCTGCCTTCTCCTCCCGGGGCTGGGTGCCGGGCTGCAACCCGGTCAAGTTACAGGGATTCCTATCACGCCTCCTTCCTTCTGCACAGGAGCAGCTGCCTCCTCCCCTGGGATGAAGAGCCTGCACCTTGGGCCCCAGGTAACCCTCGAGTGACCCGCGGAATGGGCTGGCCGGCCTGGCTTCGCCACCGGGGCCAGGAGTCAGAGGCGGCTGCAGCAGAAACAGCGGCCAGCAGGCCTGGGCCTAAAATTAAGTTTACAAACAAATCCTCAAAGTGTCTTGTTTGCCTTTTTGTTCCTACCTTAAAAAATCGGGAACCATTTCCCAGTCCTACAGCAGGGATAAGTGGTGACAGATAGGTCTACCTGTCTTCATTTTCTGTTTCTACCAGCAGTGTCCACATAAAATATTTTCTTCCCTGGCGCCTTCGCAATAGCACGAGAGCTTTTTCGCTTTCGACGGCTCTGTGTCAAACAAGGCCGGAAGCAGCGCCTGGCTTTCCTGGCGATTAATGGGATCTCTCCTACAATGAGGCGGTCAGCGCAGAGCCCACAGCCACTGTTTCCATCCCCGGCTCGGCTCCTCAGCCTGTGCACTTCCCCCAAGATTATGACAAAAATCCTCCTGCTTATCGTAAACCAGGGCACAAACAGCTCTTGAGAAGTCATTTTGAACGCCCTCTTCTTGGGGTGAGAAGCACTCCCAGGGAGACCAGTGTTTCATTTTGGTCAGAGGAGCACAAAATTGCAAGAGTTTTTTTTTTTTTAAATGATCTATTTACAGACCTGCTAACCCCTTTGCAGAAATTCTGTTTTGGGGCCCAAAAGTTGTGACAGGGTTGGAAACCTAGTTTAAACTGTTAATCGGCCACAAAAAGGGGCCCAGATAGAGGCTTTTCACTTACCTTTGAAAGGCTACAAAAGCGACTGTACACTGGGATGAAATTAGCGACAAAATCATTACCTTGACTTCCCACAAGAAAGACAACCTTTAAAGAGGGGCTACTGGTGGTTTCGAATTACATAACTGCGGTTTATAAGCTCTTCCTCGGGGTTCACAGAAAGCAGTTTCAAAGTGGGAATTCTTCAGGAACAAGCAGCCACTAGCATTCAAACGCCGACATGAACCAGCAGCCACTACAGTGAAACCCCTACACGCAGCTGCCTTTTCATTTTATTTATTGCAAAGAGGTGATTGGAAAAAGAGAAAGAGAAAAAATTAAAATCCCAGCAAAAGCGGGCCGGACCCAGAGAACCCTGTCCGGTTTGTGACGTTGGGGCTCACACACACTTGGCCCCGGAGCTTGGAGGGTCGGCCTCTTGCCCGGACGGGGCGCCCAAGTCCCACAGGTGGAAAGAGCCTCGGGTTCCGTCTGCTGCTTCTGCGAATTAAAACCCCCCACAACCATCCTCTGGGCTAGAAGGGGCACACCGCCAATGCCGGGGGTGGAATGGGATGGGGCCCGGGGCCACCCCAGAGGGGCAAAGGTCTGACTTCTGGCGCCCGGACACAGCCCAGGCAGCGTCTGTGTTTTCCAGCGTTCCGGTACAGGCTGCGCAAGTCGCCTCAGACCCCATCCTCCGTGTAACCCAACCCTTGCGCGCATGGCCTGCAAAAACCGACGGGGCACCTAGCCAACGCAGCTTACGCTTCTCTAGCACCAAGTCAGGGGTCGAAAGCCAACCAGACGGCAGCGGTCTTTAGCGAGCAAAGCCTTTCAGGACGCGGCACTGAGCGCGGCGCAAGGAGCATGAGGCTCGGGCCCCTCGTAGTGCGTCTTGGCGAGGGCGCCACGGGGTCAGGGCGCTGGGAGGAACTCCGGGCGTACCTGAGAGCCGCAGGGAGCGGGTGAGCGCGCCGCCCCGGCGGCCGGCTGGGGCTCGGCGGCATTCGCTGCGCAGCACTGCCCCCTGGCACCCGGCGCTGAAACTGCCCCGCTCGGCCAACACGTGTCCCCCGCCTCCCCGGCACCCCCTACCCCACCCCCCCCACCCCCTCCCTTGACAATCTGCTCTCCTTTTCTGGCCATGGCAGGAAGTTGTCCGGGGACCGGCCCTTCTCAAGCACTCACCTCCCCAAAGAGGGCCCAGAGCCCTGACTGCCTCAGCCAGGGGGCTGCGAGCCTTCTTCATTCCCCACCCACGTCCTGTGGCCGCTGCTGACCAGAAAAGGGGCTGAGGATATGGGGCCTGAAGATGTCGAGACCCTGAGTATAGGCCCGGGCGCGGGGAGGGGCCTGAGCCCAGAGAGGTTCCTCTGGGCTTGGAAAGGCTCATTTCCTTAATGACCAACGCCTGCTCCCTGGGCATCTGTCATTGGCACCTGGGCTTTTCAAAGAAACGAAAGGGGTAGTGGCCAAGGCCCCTCCCCGCACCCCTGGCCCTGGCGACCCATCCCAAGAGCCTCTGAGAAATACAGGACAACTGGGCTGGCGCACTGCAGGGCGCGTGCCACCCACAGGGTGGGGCCCAGAACCGAGACCCAGCCCACCGCTTCCCACTGGACCCATCGGTTCCCCAGTGGGGCCACTGACTTCCTGAATACTCCCAGAGTAAGACTCGCTCAGGGTACCAGATGCCAACATGGACAGAGGGTTCTGGGTCCCTGAACGCATCCGGCCTTTCCCACCCCAACTGGATGGTTCATCCCAGGCCTTGGGGCTGGGCCCCTTGGACAGGTAGGTGTTTAGATCAACAGACACTGAGAAAGTGCCAGCTTCAGAGCCAGATCAACCCAGATTTCAGCGTGGCCACCCAGGGGCTGTGTGACCCTGGGCGAGTTACTTCATCTCTCGGTGCGCCAGTTACCTTTGTGTTTAGTGTTCAGAGATGCTGTGAAGATTGAGATGTTTGTGCAGTGCCGACAATGGTCAGTCAAGGTGGCCGAGGATGACGGCTGTTGTTGGCTGCAGGAAGCATTCTGAGAGGGAGTGCCCGCCGGCCTCCAGTTTTCCTCACAGGAGGATACACAGCAGTGTCCTTAGCCCAGAGAGCAGCACCTGGGAGGCCGTTGCACCCTCAGATATGTTTTGCAGGGCCCAGGCCATCTGCGTGGTCCGGACTCTGCACACTGGTCCCCATCTAGGAAGCAAGTCGTCTTTGCCTGATTGCAGCTGGCCAAAAAGCTCTGACTTGGGACCCAGTAACAGTGGTTGCACGCAGGCTTCACCTGTGCCAGGCACTGTGCTGAGAGTGGCATTCACAATCCTATTTCCTCCTCACAACTACCAAACAGGAGGAATTGTTGAACATTTTAAATCTCCATTTTATAGAGCAGGAAACTGAAGCTCAGAGAGGTTAAGCAATGTGCCCAAGATCACACAGCTGGAACCTGAACTGTTGTCGCTCAGAGGCTGAGCTCTGAACTCCTTATTATCACCATTAGAGAGCCCTTCTGTTTCCACTAGCAGTCGACCTGCTCCAGCCCTCAATGTGCCTTTGCACCGGAGAAGGGGAGCTACCGTCCTGACCGTGAGCGCACTTGCATGTGCCCAGGTAGCCCACGGGCACTTACTGACACGCTCTTCTTGGCCTCCCCCCCACTCTCTGGGATTCTCCATGGCCCCAGGGCAGTGTCAGATTAGCCAATAAACAAAGCAAGCAAAAAAAAAAAAAAAGTAAGCATGGGCTCACTTGTGCTTACTCACTAATCTGTAGTGAACAATGTCATATTTTTTCACCACATCAAGGATTGCTTCTACGTCCAGCTGGCATCTCTCTCCCCCACGCCTACAGCAATTTCCCATGGAATCAAAGGCTCTTTTCAAAGTTACAACCCCTGACCAGCACCGGTTGCCCAGAAGGCAAGGTAAGTACAGGTTTAACTGTGCTTATTCACTCATTTGTCATACACAGGATCGGTATGAGTACAAACCGACTCAACGCCACCTGACAGCAGCGGCAGTGAACAGCTGCCCACGGGCCGGGCGCCGGCCTCACGGCCTCAGTCGGGAACATAGCCCTCCTCTCCCCTTCCTGCAGGCTCAGCTCACGGTCCGAGAGGCAGGACTGCTGGGTCTTGGGGAGGCGGTGGTCGCCGACGCCCCAGCGCCGGCCAGGGGGGCTCATTCATTCCCCCCTAAACAGAATCTCGCAAGAGCCGAGCTGAGCGTATTGCGTGTAACTCGCCGGCTCCTGGCTCAGGTGCCAGACCAGAAAGTGGCCTTGGCCTTAGGGCTCCCGAGCTGGCGGCTCCCTCGAGCTGTCCTTGCGCTCATCGGCAGGCAAATACTGAGCCTACTGGGTGTTGGAGCCTTGCCCACCCCCCAGGCCAAACCCAGGAGCCACTCTCTGTCCTTACCCCGGCCCTCTCCCGGCTGAGTTGAGGGCGCCCGCAGCGCCGGTCGCAACGGGCGTCCCTTGGGGGCTCGGCACTCTCCCGCCCACCCTCACCTTCTCTCTCTCCTCCTGCGGAGCCCCGCCCGCTGGCCGTGCTCGGCGCCCCCTGGTGGCACAAAGCCGCACTCCCCTCCTTCCCGCACCCTCCTCCCTCCTGCACTCCCAGTTTTCGACGTCAGTGGCTAGCCTTGTCCCAAGAGAGCGTCCTAAGGTCACTCACGGCTTTCCCAGACTGGCCGGGTTGCGCGGCCGCCCCAAGCCTGCCACCTTCTCCAGCACCAGGCCTGGCTCTCCCTGCATGCCAGCTAATCCTCTCTCCTCCTGCCTTCAATCCCACAAGCTAGGCCACTCGGAAGCAAGCACTGTGGTTGGGAAAAGAAACAAAACAAAGCAAAATCCATCCAAGTTCAAGGGCGCGCAAAAGAACCGTGTATATCCTGATTTTTAAAAGGATTCCCCCATCTTTGGGAGCTCTGGCGGCATAGTGTCCAAGGCATCTGGCTGCTAACCAGAAAGCTGGCGGTTCAAACCCACCAGGCACTCTTAGGAAGGAAGACTGGGCAATCTACTTCCGTAGAGAGACTGCCTTGGAAACCCAAGGAGGGGTGGCAATGAGTGGAATGGACTCCACTGCAATGAGTTTTCCCCCATCCCCTCATACACCCTGCCCCCTCCATGCCTTATCTTATGAATGGGAAAGACAAGCCGCAGCCTTCTTGGCTGTCACACGTGTCCCTGGTGCCATCTACCCATGTCTGTATGTGACGGGGGCATTCTCTGCCTTGAACACCCCACTGGGCAGATGCCAGGGGGAGAGATGACTAGTCAGAACCCAGATTAGGAAAACCACTGAAACCCCTTCAAAAACCCAGTGAGGGAGTGAGAAACCCGCACTGCTCAGCCTGCCAGCAGCGTTCTAGACCGCTCGGAGCTGAGCACCTGCTCACATTACCTTAGTTACTTCTCACAAAGACCCATCCACCCTCTCTCCCACTGCCATCGAGCTGATTCTAACTCACAGCAACCCTATAGGACAGAGCAGAACTGCCCCACAGGGTTTCCAAGGCTGTCCATCTTTTTAATTTTTTTTTTTAATTTTTATTGTGATTTGGGTGAAAGTTTACAGAGCAAATTTATTTTCCATACAGCAGTTCATACACATTTTGTCTCATGGCACTGACTGTGAACTGTAATTCTCCCTGTAGTTACCTCTTCCCTGTGTCCTTCCCTCCCATGAACTCTCTCACACACACCCAGCTGTCTCCTGGTGCACACACTGCCCTCCTGTTCTCCCATGGCAGATCACTCCAAGTAGTGTATCCACCTGATGTCAATGTTGAGCCCATAGCCAAGGCTATAAATCTCTACAGAAGCAGACTGCCTCCTCTTTCTCCCATGGAGTGGTCTGGTAGGTCTGAACCATTGACCTTTTGGTTAGCAGCAGAATGCCCTAACTACTGTGGCACTGGGTTATTATTACTTTACTCCCCTTCCCATCCTGTTACTATTATCTTTTTACTTGTACACACCACCCTAGCAGCCAAAAGGTGGAAACAACCCAACCCACACCCCTGCCGTCAAATCAATTCTGACTCAGTGACCTGCATTGGGTTTCTAAGGCTATGAATCGTCACAGAAGAAGTAAATTGACTCATGTTCTTCCCACAGAGCAGCTGGTGGGTTTGAACCACTGACCTTCTGGTTAGCAGCCAAATGCCTTACCTCACTATGCCACCAGAGCTCCCTAACCAACCAATGGATGAACAAAACACAGCATATCCCTACAATGGAATGCCACCCAGCTATAACAAAGATGGAAGCGCTGGCAAATGCCACAACCTTTCTCATTATCATGAGGAGACCGAGGGCCTCACAGACAGTCCCTGGGCTGTGCAAACAGTCCATGGGTAAGCCCATGCTGAGGTGCCTTGGAAGAAAGGCCTGGCGATGTAATTCCAAAACAAAAGCCCACAGCAGCAAATTCTTCTCTGACACACATGGAACTGCCACTGGTTTCATCTGCAGAGTCTATCAGGGACTTGGACTCCAAACTCGAGCATTCCAGTCACCAGGGGATCTTAGTGCTGTTCTGAGAGGCATGGGATGTGGTCATGAAGGACTGGACCCTACAACACACCCCAGAAATTCCTAGTTTGGGAAAACATTTTATGGGACATTCCAAACATAAACATAAGAGGTGTTTTACAAACCCCTATGTGCCCATCACCAGCTTCCAAATGATGAACTCGTGGCCAGGGTGGCCCCTCCATCTCCCATTCACCAGAATGTGTGGGAACAAACATTGGACACTTAATCTGCAAACATTGTCAGCATGTGCTGCCAAAAGATAACCACATTATCAAAACCACAGCACCATCAGCACAACCACAATACCAAAGCACACCCAAAAACCCACATTCCTGAGTGTCACAGAACATGCAGTCAGTCAGAGCTGCATGGTTGTCATGTGGGCTTCACTGCTAGGGCCAGCTGCACTTGCATTTGAATCTTGATTGTCACTTACTAGGTGAATGACTTGGGGCAATGACCTACCTTCTCTGAGTGTCAGTTTTCTCTCCTATTAAAACAGTGCCTACCTCACACAGTTGTTTAAGGATGAAAAAAAGATAACACGTGTAAAGAGTTTAGCGCAGGCCAGGGAATGATAAGGTACTGTGATTATTCCTCCTAAAGCCAGAGTTCAGTAAGATTCAAGTTCACAAAGGTTTGAAAAATGGGTCTGAGTTGCGGCATTGAAGGTTTCACATGGCTTCAGGATGAGACTGGACCCAGGACATTACTGGGAGGTCAGCTTTAAATGCTGGGAGCGACAATGGAAGGCTGAATTAGTGGGAACGATAAGGGGCTGGGCATTCAAACCCAAGGGTTCTCCCAGGACCGTCTCCAGCCTAACAGTCTTGTCCGTGCTAGTCTTTAGCAGGGCTGGTCTGTCTCACCTGTACCCCTGCACCCCCATGTGGTCAGTGCTGCCTGCTAAATGATGGCCGATGAGCTCCAGCCCATCACCTGGACTTTGTACAGGCTCTGCCCTCTGCCTGGGACATCCGTGCCCTTTCCCTAATTTAATTTTGACCCTCACTAAACGGGTCCAGTTCCCCTGTGTGTGTTCTTGGAGGCCTGTGTGCCTTCTCACCTCTGTTCAAACTTTACCTGTACTTGTTTATCAGGTTGTAAGCTGTAATGCCATGAGGGCAGGGATCATGACTGTTTTCATCATTGTGTCCTCAGCCCTTAACACAGTGCATCATTATTGAGCAGGTATTTGTAAAGCTAATTCTGGGATTAATTTAACCCTAGCCCTGGCCCTAATTAGCAGTCATCTTCAGTCACAATAGATAATTCTCACATGCATTATTCCAATATGTTGTTTAGGCAATTACAGTTAGCTTCCAAACCCACTAGCAGGTAAGCTATTCTAAAGGTGATGAAATACAAAGGCTCACAGGTCAAGTGAAGAGGCTTGAATCAGACATTATTAAATGAATTGAAAACGCAGTGAGAGGCAGGAGGAACGAGAGGCAGAACTGCCACGTCTACCAGACACAAACCAGGTGGGAAGACCACTACTCGAGTCCTGGGCTGTGTAACATGCCCATGTCCCCCACTTTAACCTCACCCTAAGGTGGTTACAAGGGAGGACCAGAATTAAGGGTGAACAGGGGGGCCCAACAGATGGAAGGTGCCCAAGGCAACACGCACTTTGGCTGTTGGGTAGAGAGCCTCAGGTCAAGTTCACCCATTAGCCTGCTGAACAGCTATGAGCTTGTCTGTGTTTCTTGGACAGAGTGAAACAGAGGCCAGAGTAGGACCAAGATCAGTGTCACCAGTGGGTGGCTGACAGGGAATAACGGAGCCGTCAACCCTGAGATTGGCCCCACCTTATAACCCAGTCTTCCCATCTCTCTGCTGGACCAGCACTCTTGTTGTTTTAACGTGTTGTTGTCCATCATGTTGGCCCAGCGTGATCTTCATGGTTTCACCACTGGGATCCATCGGGTTTCTACAGGCTGATTTTCAGAAACAGACCACCAGGCCTTTCTTCCTGGTCTTAGTCGGGAAGCTCTGCTGAAACCTGTTCAGCATCATAGCAGCATACAGACATCCTCTGATAGATAGTGGTGGCTGGGCATTGGCCCAGAATCAAACCCAGGTCTTCTGCATGGAAAGTGAGAACTCTACCACTGAACCACCCCTGCTTCCTTGTTCTATCCCATAGTCCATCCATCTTTAACATGTCATGTAGGTTACTGATTTATTACCCATGTGAATTCTGACTGTGTTCCCTACGCTGCCTCTGATTTCACCTGCACTTAACTCTGATGGCCCATAGTCTGCTGTCTCACTGTCTATACGTAACAATTCTCATGAGTTTAATCCATCGCACTTGTTTCTGTCTTCCATAGCAGGACTGAAAAGCCTCAAACAATACAGCACACACATGTACACAACACTCTTTATTTATGCTAAGCAGTGATGAAGCCAACAGGACTCCTCCGCCGCCTCCCAGCTGGTGGAAAGACCCAATAAACAATCCCCTGTCATGTGGAATGATCAGCTCAGCTCAGTGCCAGGGAAGAGGGGAACCTCTTGCCCTAAGAATGTGGGTGGGCCAGTCGGGCATTGCTGCCCTGAGGAGGTGGCATCTGAGCTGACATCTGAAAGTCCTTGGTGTTCAGAAATCCCTAGAAGTACACACCAAGGTGAAGTGCACTCTTTCCCTTTGCCCTATCCAAGCTCTGAGTCACATTAGCCTATTATCCATCCAGCTTTCCCAGGGAACTCTA